CAACATAACCCACTAGTACCATAAACAACTATTAAATAGGTAAATTTTCTTCCATAATCTAATTCGATAAATTTAGCTAATTTTGATATAGAGAGTAGGGCACTCAAACCAATTTCATCCTTTTTTTCGGCATTAATCATTGGATTTTAAGAAAATACTAAAACAAGTAGATTTTTATTCCAAATTATAAACAATTTTACAATACAAACATCTATCATGTGTCAATATCCTCCCTTCCACTTCTCAAACCCCTTAATTTTAAATATGAAATGTACCATATACGGCACATCATTGAAAAGGTAATTAATAGAAACAACACTAAACCTAAATTCACTACTATGTTTAAAAACCCGATAATCTGACCCCACGAACTATATTCAATCAAAAGGAACAGGAGACTTCATGGTTATTTAAAAAAAGTAAAGTAAAAATTGACCAATCTGTAAGTTTGTAGAATGTTCTATAACCTCCTGCAAAGTTACAAGTGATTTGCTTACGCAAAAAGTGAAAACACGTTTCTGTAATACCATATTTCTCTTTTGCAACTGCAACTGATATTTGCATATACAAGTACGATTTGCAGGGCTTCCGTAATTTCACCATTAAGGGTGAATTTGGGTTTAGAGTTGTGTTGTTGAGGGTAATAAGCCACAATAAATATTGCATATTTTACAGATATTTTTTGGAAAACAAAAACTTAATACTTGCATCTGTAAGTCCGCCATATTTACAGATCTGCAAAGTTGCCACCATATTTGCAGATCTGCAAGTTGCCGCCATATTTGCAGATCTGCAAAGTTGCAGACGTTCTGTAATCTCACCCTAAAGTGCCAATGTCTATCTGTCCGTGCTACGATCTTTGGATAGAAGAAGCGAAAACCTTATCGGACTCAAATATAAGCTAGGGACACTTAGAGAAATAAAATGACACCAAAATCATGGTACCTACTTTTATGGTTTCCGAGATATAGAATTGGGTCGAACATTTAAATGAACGAAATCGCACTTAGAGAAGTGTAGCATATTACCTAATTTAATAACATTTAAATAAAATAACAATCTCAGTATTGCAGTTTATTCATTATTCATGACTGTTTCTACAAATCACACCAATCTTTCCAATAGGTAAAACCACTTTTTATAAAAATACTACATTAAGAAACGAAATCAATAAATTAAATTTAAATATAATATACAAAGTGATGCATACCAATTACCCGTACATAACAAAAAGCAAAAAGACACCAACATCATGGTACCTACTTTTACAGTTTCCGAGAGATATAGAAAATCTTCTCAAAATTTGAAGAGTCGAAGATGCTCGATCCCCTAGCTGGTTCTGTTTAAAATAATGCATGATTAATTTTCAAATTATTGCAAATGCAATATGGAGGATATTTATATAAATGTTATGTGGTGCATGGAATTAGTAATTAAATTTGCTTTCAAATAAGTTGTCACACTTTATAATACGTACAGTTTTTTTAACTCTCCAGAAGCAGGTACAATTAAAAGTAACGTAACAAAGGCATATTTTTAAATTCCCCATAAAATTCTTCAATAAATTACTTTTTTTAAATTAAGTTGTTGGAGAAGTGCAAGCAAGGAGGGGGTTGACACATGACAGATGTCTATATTATAAATATGGTATCAATTTGGAATAAAAATCGACCTGTTTTAACATTTTCTTTAAATCCAATGATACATGCTGAAAAATAGAATGAAAATGTTTTAAGTTACCCACTCTGTATATCAAAAGTAGCTAGATTTAGCGAATTAGTCCATATTCGCTCCGTGCGAAGTCATGGAAAGGGAAGCAAAAGCGATACTAGCGCTAGCTGCGGATAAGTCGTGCATTTTAGGGGGATATTTTGTAATTTTGGCATATCAAATACACGTATACATTTTACTTTTTTTCAAAAAAGTAGGTGAAAACAACACAATAAGCAACCGGAGTTGCTGTGTTGAAAATTGTACAAATACTAGCAAAAAAAAAACAGTGAAACTTATATAACAAATTTCACTAACAAAGTGGAAATTAAATCAAAGAAATAAATGGATAGGTGTACAATAAGAAGAAAAATTACCTTTATTTTTGTGATAATAACGGTAATGCTGGAAATAATAGACATCAGAAACTAGAAAGTTTTTAAATAAACAATAAATTATCATTTTACGATGTTCTTTAATATCCCTTTATTCTTAAATGTTCATTCAGCAAGGACTAGATTTCAAGATTTCTGCCGTTGATTATAATATTTGGCTGGTATGCAATTTTGTGACTTACTGATCGGAAACCAGTTTTAATCATTCATTCTATGTTTTCTTTAGAACAAAAATGAAAATATAAGTAGCGATCCTTTTTATACATTTTAACTTCACGCTATTATAAATGGTTTCTTCAATGACAACTTATTAGACTTAGGCAACTTCTCATACATTTTCCAGTAAATACTGTTGCCTGCCTATATTTTATTATTGATTTTTAATGATTATACATAATTTTCTTCAATTTAAGCGTGAAAAATATATAATAATAATAAATTAATGTTTTAATTGTTTTATAAATCCATATACTTTTATTAAAACTAACATATATACTTTTTATTTACGAATTCTATTAAAAATTGTATTTGTCAGTATAGGCAGAAATACTCCTTTAATACCAAAACAAATTGGCGCTGCTGTCGCGCACGGAGCGAATAACAAAATCTGTTTAAAAATGCACTTTTTACAAGATGCGCTACATAAGAAAAATCCTTCCTTCGAAAAAAAATTATTGAGCGCAGCATCATCTAAATATTGACCTATTTAAAATCAATATATATCTAAAACTAAAGCTCTCTTAGTGCTCTGTGAACTAGCTTTCATAGAATTAAAATATCTCTATTTCTTACCAAAATATCTGGCCTCAGATTTTTTATTGGTACACCCTGTATAGATTTTCTTTCTACCAATAAAATAGATAAAAATTATTTTTATGTAAATATATAGGAAACTATAAATCAATCTTAAAAAACGTTTAAAAACTCATACCAAAACTGTATAAATTATATTTGATTGTTTAAAAATTGTTCTACAGCATTTCTAGGGGTAGCAATACCAAAAACATCAGCTGTTTCCACGTTAAATTAATAATAATAATAATTGTTTTATTTTTATTTAAATTAACTGTTATTTTTTCTAAAGGTAACAAAAATTGCATTTCTGTACAGAATAACAGACTTCCACTTAAATTCCACGAACTGTCATTGGAATTCCACGAACTTTCATTGGAATTCCATAAATTTCCACATACCATCACCGGAATTCTGTCCATTTACAAACCATCATTCCAAGGTGGTTTGTCCCCCCATTTTGACAGAATAATTTAATAAATTTTTGAAAACTAGTTTTTTTATTATTTTTAAAAAATGATTTTCATGGGCCCTCTTTGGAGGAGTACCAATTCTATTGGTTGTTCTTCCATCCTTTAGAAAATTAGGACAATTTTGAAACATCTTGCTTACCTTACAGATAGTTCAATTATTTATTAATTAATATGAGATTTCCAAAATTATACTATTTTAAATGAAAAATGTTAATATAAAATGGACAAAAAAGTATATTCGTACAATTTTCGAATAGAAACGTTCAACCAAAATTTAAAGACTTAATTATTTATTTAATTAAAACTTGCATAGAGCAAGTTTTTTTTTTTTTTAACCCCACCTAGTATTAGAAAAAGTAAAAAAATTGTTAAGTATTTATTTATAATTTCAACTTTTTTGGTTTCAATGTTAAATTATAAATATGTATAAATACAAATTGATATTTTTTTGACTATGTTAGAAGTCATTAAAATAAAAAACTTTTTTAAAAAAATTCAAAAATAAGAAACGCATCAATTTATATTTAAATAAATACGCTACTAAAATCACACGTGAATTACAAAAACTAGTAGACAATGAAACGTGATTCACAAGGAAAAAATGGTAAAAAAGATAATATCATTAACAGACTTCTTATTTAGTTTAATTCTTCATACACAAGTCCAGGACCGGATTTAGATTTTTAAATTGTGTATATTTCTAATTTTTGAGTTTTTCTAAAAAAGTTATTCAAAAAAGATGTTTATTCAGTTAAATAGAGTAGAAAATTGTTTAAATTTAATTTAATTGTAAGTACAAATAAAAATTCGTTCACGTTGTTTTTTAATTTACAATATGGAAATGTTCGAATTCTGTGTTTTCAACGACTAAATTCGAAAAACCTTACAAAAGTTTGTACGTCAACATTTAAGAAGAAAAAAGTTCAAATAAACAATAATTTTGTTATCAATCAAAGTTTATAAAGTTAACCAAAATACTAATCGAAATCGACCTTTGTCTCCCGGACTATAAACTAACTGTAAATATGCAAGCAAATCGCATTCAGAATTTACCCCTGTCTCCCGGACTATAAGCTCTAACTCACCACAAAATACAAACATTTTTCGGACTACATTTTCCCTTTCATTATTCCCGTTTCTGTGGGATGTATTGTCTTGTTAAAGGCGAAAGGGATAAAGAATTAAATGGTTTAATAAAGATGTAATCCACTAATTTTACAGAGTATGTATAAACGTTTAATTGGCAATGGCGGAATCATTCCTATAAATAGTCGCTCCGTGCTAATAGCTTCGTTCGCGGTAATAATTCTGTACTGCACTGGAATTCTCATCTATCAATTCGACACGTGTTGAGACGACTAAATTCGTTCCACAGAATGCGATTCGTATGTAATATCTCTCTCTTTTCGTTACGTGTTGAGTATGCACATAAGAATCCCTGTCCAGATTCCGAACATCCGAACGCTAAGGTAAAAATTACACTGCATAACTAGATTTGTATTGTACAAAAATATTTATGCAGGCGTGTATAGTTTACCTTAACGTTCGAGATCAGCTCCGCGAACGAAGCTCTTATCAGCTGTCTACGATTGTGCTATCTACGATTCCATTGGCGTGGCTTGTTCAGAACACGAAAGAAAAACATTTGAATCTTCTTAGTTGTTTATAAGTTCAAAATGGCTGCAGTCTGTAATTGAGCTTCTTATTCTAAACAGCTATTTCTTAGTATAATTGAATAAAGTGTACGTCGAATTCTGGTTCAAAAATGGAAGAATTGCTTAAAGAAGAAAGTAAGGATGTGCAAGAACTAATAGCGAAATATTTCTCTCCGAGCGAATGGCTTAAAATCCCGAAAAGTATTCGATTTCGACATTTGAAAATGTCTCGTAATTATTTGAAAATTAATGAAAAATGGACAGGTAAGGAATTAGTTTTAAGTATGCATTAAGGAGTTAACGTACATACAACAAAATTTAGAATATTGTAAAATTTTAATTGAAAAAATTAATTAAATAACCTCAAGATAGAAAATTGTAAAGTTTATCAATTATAAAAAAAAGGTAAAAAAGATTAGACAATAGAGATGAGTGGTATATTAGTTTCCGGTTACTTTTTAACTTCAACGGTAAATTGAAAATGTTCAACCATGCTGCCAAGGGCCATGGTTGCCAGATCAGGAATTTTTTTCTCGAAAATTAGGATTATTTCTTTTTTCAATTATACTACTGTAACAGATATTTTCTTATATTAGCCTTCAATTCGTATTGTTTTAGTGCCTTTATATACTTTTACTGTTATAACTTCTTGTAAATTATTAATTAAATATTTTCTAGTTCTTATAGGGATTTATTTGTAAAACAATTTATTTTGGAGTATTTTAAATATGTGGAAAATTTATTAAAATCCAGAAATAAATAATTTTCTCTACGAAAATAAAAAAAATAATTTTTTGGGATTTTTCGCAAGATTTCTAAAATTTCGAAATTTTCTAATTTCGGCTGGGGAATTTTAACTTAACAATCTAGCAACCCTGCCATCGGCAGCGTCGCGTGACTATTAACATCACAACATCAGTTCTAGCGGAGCTACTAATAAATTATACATTTAATTTTATCTTTAGTTCAAAAGTTTAATTTTTTGTTGGCTATTTAAAATTAATCATGTAATGCTTCTTTATTTTAATTTTTGGATATTTTCAAACTGTGACATGGTGAAAATATCAAAAGGAACTGGTAACTACTAAAAATAACTGTTGTAATTGTTACTAAAATCACTGTCACCAAGGGCGGATCCAAGTCGAATTTTCGGAGGGGTTCATTGCTTTTAGACCTCCCAGGCTCCCAAGCTGTTTGATAGATCTACACTCAAATTAAAGTTGTAAAATCTTGAATTGTATATTATTAATCATTTAGCAACTAATAATTTACTTTGGTAGTTAAATATACATATAAAATATAGAAATTATTTAAAAATAAAATAAATAATCTAAATACAAAAATAATTTATAATAAATACGGGTAAAATAACAATAAATTAAAAGAAATACATAAAAATTCCTTATTTAAAGAACATTATAGTTTTGTAGTATGTGCAATAGAATAACCAATAATATCAATATCTCCCCATGGGTGTTGTTGGAAAATACCCAGACAACACACCAAATCCCAGAGATATCCACAGAATATATTTTGTGGATATCCAATATATCCACAGGATATCAGAAATATTCCGTGGAATATGGATATCCAAATGTCCGTCTATATCCAGAATATAGAAGATATCCTATGGATATTCAGCAAAATATCTAATGAGTATCTCCAGACAATACAAGAAACCCCAGATATATCCATAGAATATATTTTGTGGATATCCAACCAAATGTCCGTCTATATCCCAGGATATAGAAATTCAGATAAATATTTTATAATTATTTTTAGTAGAGGTTCATAAGTAACCAATGGTTATTAAATAACGTCGAAAGAAAATAGAGGTAAAAAATATTCCCAACAATCTGCCTTTGATTTTGCCTACTAAGGAGAAAATCATCCTTATTAGGAATCTTCAGCAATAAATGGAACTTCTCGACTTCAGTCTCTAATGAAGTCTGTTTGTGAAACAATGTCGATCAAACTCAATTACGGCGGGTTAAGCATGAGTAGATACGAAAGTGGTATCGCCATCTATACTTAGGAAGCAAAATCAAAAATTACATCTAGTAGATATCCACGATGGTTTGCGTCCGCGCTTAGACTTTGATATATTTATATTTATAGTGGATGTCCATGGGATATTGAATACACCTTAAAAAAAATTAATTTTAAATATCTCAACGATACTCTTAGCCACAATGGCGAGTACAATGGCGTAATTTTTTAATAATTTGCTATATAATTACAATTATTTATGGACATTTGCATGTCTATAAATTACATTTCATGGATATAAAATAGATATCCACCATGGACTGGACATTCAGTGGATATTGGGATGTTCAGTAGATATCCAAAGGATTTGGTGTGCTGTCTGGGTAACTAACGTTATTCTCCGCCAGAAGATATCAATTATTTTACTCCTCTTTCCCCTACGCCGCTAGTCAGCGAATTTAAATATATTTGTTTCTCTCGCCCCTTATTACATAATTAAATGCTAAACCGCATCTAACATCATGCAACCAACATTACATTTGCGTCTGATAGGTACCAATGGTAGTTCATGACATAATTCCAACCAACCCTGGCACTTCGCGCTCATTTTCTATCTCCTCTCACATACCGTGGAATCTCGGGCATTCTAAAGACAGAAGCAGACTTAAGTCAAGGTGAGAAGGGTGTGCGAGTCAATATATGTGTTTTTTCCCGCACTTTGTGGGCGTTAGCCGGCCGGCATTCTTATTTTATCGTAAAAGTTAATAAAAACTCATTAGCTCGGGGTGTTATCACAAAAGACATTTTATAAAAGCAAGTAGCCTCACACTAAACATACTCTAGCGTTGTTTTGTGCCTGTGTCGTATCAACAACTTGTTAATTTGTTGTATAGTATTGTAATAAACTCGTATCGCAGTTTGAATACCCGAAAGCAGTAAGATCTTCATACAGTCCATTAAAAACACACACAAATATAGGGAGAAATCAGAAAATTACCCCATATTTGCGCAGGTGTAGAAAAAATACTTTTCTTTATTTGATGTTTTTAAGAATTATCTCACAAATCGGGAACAATGCATTAAAGTTTTTAGATTGTGAAAATAGGGGTGCCTCAGGGTACCATCCTCGACCTAGTACTATTTTTTGGCTTATAGAATAATAATAAATGTCTTTATTTTCATAAGCCTTGGTGGCATAGCTGTTCCACTCAACCGAGTACCAAATACAAACATTTCATATAATACAAATATACATTGTTATTTAGATTTAAATTATTTAATATACATTTTATATAGATACATGCAATAAGAATAAATTAACAATACATAAACACAAACTTTAAAACAAAAGATATTTTTTCAGTAATTTTTTTTAAAGATTTCTGGAGATTTATTTTTACATTAATCAGGTAGTTATATATATACAGTATGGTTCAAATGAAAGGAATAAATTCATTATAATGGAAGTAGCTGGTTTTTCGAAAAAATGCTCGGACAGGTCAATTTTGTTTACTTAAAGCGCAATTTTTTAAATAAAATTCAATTTTCCCCCACTTCCCATTTTTGGGCAGTGACGTCATTGACAATTTTTTTAAATAGCAACCCCAATTTTGTTTTCATGATTTTGATAGATCTTGCAATTTCCTACTCGGAAACATAATATTTGAAATATCTGACATAACAATTTTTTTTGAAAAAAAGTAATTTCAAGATCAGATACATAAATTTTATGTTATTTTGAAACACAATAAATTAATAACAGATAATTATTTGTAATTAAATGCTTAATCTAACAAAATAATAATAAAAAAAATAATAAAAAGAATTTGTGAAATTGTCATTAAATTCGTTTTATTATTATTATTTATCCTTATTAGTATACGGTATCATTGGTTGGGGAGGTGTGTATGATAATACTTTGAAAAATGTTAATGTAATACAAAAATGGATTTTAAGAATAATTTACAAAAAAAATATTTTATACCCCAGTAATGCACTTTACGAAGATTCCAATATCTACGATATCAGACAACTATATTTTCTACAGATATTATTATTTTTAAAGAAATCTAAGATTATATTAATATCTCATGACCATCCCTACAATACACGTCGACCTGATGCTATTTTATTTCCGCGATCTGAAAAAAGTATTGGCCAAAGATGTAGTGATTATCTGGCTCCTAGAATTTTTGTTTTGATACCTCAAGAAATAAAGGACATTTCTTTGTACAGCAGATACAAAAATAAACTAAAAATCTGGCTCCAAAAAGAGCGTAAATTAGCAAGTGATGCTATAAATCAGATTTAAAAATTTTAAAATTTAAAAATATGTATATGTATCTTTCTCTCCATAAAAACTGTCACGATAATAAGATTGGTCTATTTCTTTATGTTTTTATTTATATTATCTTTCTATTTTTAATATTTTAATTGTTATTTGTAATCTAATTTGTATTTGCATTTTATATTTTTTTAGGTTGTTCTAATTTTAAAAAATTATTTAAATTTATGTTGTTGGGTTTTATAGGGACATATATGCTTTGTATGTATTGTATATGTGCCTTATCACATACAAGCAGTTTTAAACTGCTTCTATGATTGCCTCCTATTGTTTATTCAATTTTTTTTTTTAACTGTATATGTATCAATGTATTATCTGAATAAACATTATTATTATTATTATTATTATTATTATTATTATTATTTTTTTAAATTAAGCACTTAATTACAAATAATTATCTTTTATTAATTTATTATGTTTCAAAATAACATAAAATTTATGTATCTGATCTTGAAATTACTTTTTTTCAAAAAAAATTGTTATGTCAGATATTTCAAATATTACGTTTCCAAGTAGGAAATTGCAAGATCTATCAAAATCAATAAAAAAAATTGGGGTTGCTATTTAAAAAAATTGTCAATGACGTCACTGCCCAAAAATGGGAAGTGGGGGAAAATTTAATTCTATTTAAAAAATTGCGCTTTGAGTAAACAAAATTGACCTGTCCGAGCACTTTTTCGAAAAACCAGCTACTTCCATTATAATGAATTTATTCCTTTCATTTGAACCATACTGTATTCATTAACGATGTGGCTTCAGGATTTAAATATTGTAAGTTCCTACTATTCGCCGATGACCTGAAATTATTTATGGAAATCTTAAACTTACTTGACTGTTTGATTTAAACTATTTTATTAATTGTGCTTTAAATAATCATACTGGCTAAGCGACCGCCGGCGGTGCTTGCATTTGTTGAAAAGAAAACCGTCTT